GGCATTCTGTCTATTAAATGTGTGATATCTTTCCTGCTTCCATTCATCACCTGCTTTCTCTCCCTCAGTAAGAATGGTGGTAGTTCCTGGAGGTCTCCTGACTTACAGATTTCCTCTGCTTTCCTTTTTGGGCCTTAAAATGCTTCTTGGAGGTGGGTTTGGGGTTCATTCTTTACCAGTAGGTAATGCCATCTACTCCCTGATGTCTTTTAGTCTGACTTGCTTAAGTGTTAACTTCAAGTTGTATCAAATCATGTTAATGATTTGCTTCATCAGTTGTCTACATCATAAATATTCTAAGTTGCCTAATATAAAATGAGGAATCATTATATTTGCCTGTGTCCAGGCCTAAGGAGCTTAGCACACAACCTTTAGCCTTTTACTACACTTCATATATTCTCTCCCCACCTCTTTTTGCAAGGAAGTTCCAAAGAAAAGTACAGAACTGGATAAGACTGGATTATTGTAGAGAAGAGTAAACTGGGAAACCAGCTGAAAAGCAGCCTGTTGCTGGTCACATGGCTAATCTTGGGTAGAGCCAGGAATAAAACTGGTATCTCATGACTCTTCATTCCCAAGACCCTGCTGCCTGTCTCCCTGTCTGAATCATCCTTTGGTTCAACTCCCAAAAAGCAAATGTGGGCGCTTGTTCAGATTTAGTAACCTCTGCATCTTTTAATTAAAAAGATTTGTTTTAACCTTTGGGCTCCCTCTTTTTTCCCTAAGACTATAAGAAGCTTGTCCTTAGTGCTTTGAGATTGTAGTGTATGTGCAGGGTCTTGAAAAAGTTCATAGAAAAATGTACACTGTGAAAAAACTATGCATGAATTTCAAGGTTTTTTACACCAAAATAAACTTGTACTTTAATTCTTTTTTTCTATGAACTAAAAAAAAAAAAAATCTATAAAAATGCCAACTTTCTTTTTATTTTTCTTTCTTTCTTTTATCAGAAAAAGAGAGAGAGAGACAGAGAGACATAGAAACAGAGAGAAAGTGAGGCAGGCACCCCCAGTGGATCTTCATGCCACAATTCACCCCCAGCCTCAGCTGACCCATATTCTAGGCATGCACACATGTGCTCAAAATGCTCAATGAGGTCCTAGGATGTGAACCCAGAATCTTTCCTATGTGGATCTAGGTACATTACCACTGCATCATTACCTGGTCCCTCCACAAACTTCTTGATATCTCCTCATATACAGCTCTGCTTCCCTTCCAGGAAGGCTTCCCAGCCTGTAGCACAAAGATCATGCAGATTTCTTGGTTTACAGTTTCTGAGGGCACAGGGAAACTGGTTGTCAATCACGAAAATAGTATGTGTAGGGAGAAGATATTCATCTGTAGCTCCCATGGGTAGCCCTCAATGAAACAGCCTCCTGAAAGATAGTTCTGACTTCAGACTCCTGAGACTTTCTAAGCACTTGTTCCAGAGATTTTTAGTATGTTTCCAAGGGTCTGCCCCAATATGTAGTTTTACAATTTAAAGAAGCTCTAAATGCTGAACTGGGATTGAATGATTGTATCTACTGGCCAGCTATCTCAAATGAGCTTGTAAATTATTGCCAGTTTTGTAATTTTCATCCAACTTGTACTTTCACATGGAGTCTAATTGTCAGGCAGTTCTGAGTTGCTGTTACTGATGGAGGTGGAACTTTTGACTAGTCAGCAGACTCAGCTCTCACCCCAGTGAAATCTCAAAGGCTATGTCATGTATTCCACACTTTCGAATTGAATTGCTCCTGGGATATATAAATAGATTTGCAAGACCAAGTTGCAAGGAAAAAAATCTTTCTCTTTTTTGCTTTTTTTTTTTTTTTTTGAGAAAGAGGGAGAAAGAAAGAGAGATTTTTTTTTTTTTATTGCTAGAGGGTATCTACACTAACCAGAGAGAGAGATGGGGGGGTGGGGGGAAAGTACCTCTTCCTGATGGATCCCACCTCAACCCCTTCTCCATTTTCCATTTTTATCAAGATTCACATGTTTTCCAAGCTGCTGGGGCCAGGATTTGAACCACAATAGTACAGTGCTTAAGTCCTGTGTATAGGGAGTCAGGTCCCATGTGGCTGACTGAAGTTCAAATCCCGGCATGATGGTTTGAAAAAACATGCTATGAGCATATGCTGTGAGTGTGTGTGTATACTTACATATACATATATTCACGGTATATTATATCTATATGTCTATATATCTATATCTATATGTGTGTGTGTGTGTGTTTGTGTGTATATATATAAAATGCTGGAATATATACAATATATAGTATATACCATATGTAATATATTAGAAAAAAGAAACCCAGATAATTTAGGTGTAGCTTACAAATGGCACCACAAACTTTTCTTTTTTTCTCAGGCCTTGGAAGTTCTACCAGGGCAAACCTCTCTGGTATCACAATCAGAATTAGGGAAACTTTCTCATATTAGGCCTTTTGTCTGGGGACTATCTTCTCAGCTTTCTAAGTGGAGGGTTACTTTG